CATTTTGATCGGTTTAAAGTGCTTCTGAATTTATCTAGACCAATTTAAACTCATTTGACCCATGCTAGACCTAATCAATTCTTCTAAGTTAGACGAAGTTATGAAAGATTCAAAACTAATCTTATGAGGATTATTAGTTGGTTAAATTAAATTTATTTTAATTAAGCCCGATTTGAATCGGTTGGACCAATTCAACTATGATTTAGGTCGATCAAGAGTGAATTGAGGTATGATTCTAGATGTTTATAATGTTGATAGATCGTTTATAAGTTTTGAGGTCTCGAGATCGATTTACAAGTTTGATTATGATTTCTTGATAAATGAATGATCTACTCAGATTGGTATGGATGTGAGATATTCATTCGTAATGCCTCGTATGGTAGGAACTTTAGGACCATCATGTGTTGGGTAATAAGGATCGAATCTCATATATGATCCTTTTATTATGATTTTTTTAATATATATATTTGCTAGCACCAACTTGAGACTAACATAAGATATAAGGTTGATGTAATAAAAAGACTTGAATAATCCCTCTTAATTATAAGAGAGCCAATATACTGGATAGCGATTCCTTTCAGGGTTTAGCAGGCTGTCATATGAATTCTTCCATCTACTATTGATAGATCTATGTTTTTATTTTGGTGGATAAGAAATAGTATTTTATCTATTATTGAGAGTATCATATGAATTTTATCTACGGTTGGGAGAGAATATAGCTAAGAGTATTATATTCCCTCTCACATAAATGTTAAAAGGTACATACTTACACCCTTTTTAGATCCCTAGAGGATAATCTTTTCTAGAATCGAATATATTCTCATTTGTTGTTAAGATTATATTCTATCATATACATACCCTCTCACATAAACGCTGAAAAGTACGTACTTGCATCCTCTCTAGATCCCTAGAGGATAACCTTCTCTATAATATAACCTATTCTCATTTGCTATTAGGAATATATTCTATCTCATACATATCCTCTCATATAAATGCTGAAAAGTATGTATTCTCTCTAGATCCTATAACTTTTTATGGATGATAACCTTTAGACTCTAGATCCAATAGCAGCTAAGGTATTTCTCATATTTTGCTCTCACCTCTTATCATACTCTACATATACTTGAGAAATAAGAAAAAATAAACGTTAATTTTTAAGATTTTTTACTTTTACGAAAAAAAAATTCTCAAAATCTCTTGTTCTCCTAAGATATTAACTCCAAAAATTTTAAATTATTTTAGGATCCCAACATGGCATAATTTCATAGTTGTGTTGCATGCATTTTGTTCTCTAGATCGATGATGAACAAAAAAAGAAAAAAAAGGTACAAGTCAAACAACATTTAGGTAGGAATTCAAAAACTCTTTTAATGTTCTTCTTCTGTCAACGAAACAAGACTAAGCGCGTCTTTAACTTACATCCGTTTCAAGGGCAGAAGGTGATATCGTAGTTATCCCCCACATAGGTGAAGGTGCTGGTCCTATCATCATAAGCATAACTATATGCTTGAGGACATGCATTCTTGAAGATCTGGGAGTAGTAGGAGGGCTTGCAAGTGTCCGGGCTACCGTACTGGCCCCTGCAGTAGTATTCGTCAGTGTTGAAGGCTAAGCATGCGCTCTTGCACCCCACCACGCCCCCGTCCGGCGCTGTTATCCGCAACTCCTGGGGGCACAGCAAGTTGATGTTCACCGGGCACGACGTGTTGTTGCAATTCACGTCGTAGAAATCCTTGCCTCCATAGCCCTGCAGGGTGAATTGTTGGGGATGGAGGAGCAAGAAAAAAACAGAATACTAGGATGCAAGTAAAAGAATCCTTTCGATTAAAAAAAATGATATAATATTTAAAACAAGTGGATTGACAAGAACACTTACAAGATATTCTCAAATGCACACACTCTCTATATTTTCTTGCTTTCTGAACTATGGTCCTATTTATAGGACTAGTGGTAACTACACATATCACAATGTCACCCAAGATAGAGGTAGTTATTGAAACAATCCTATAACTTCTAGATCATGATTGAGGTAGTTATTGAAACAACCCTATAACTACTAGATCATGATAACTACCTAGATAACTATGAATCAAATCTCAACACTCCCCCTTGATTCATAGTTGCATA